TCCTCCAGCAGCAGCTCCACGGCCTCGTTCTGCTTGGTGGACTTCTCGATGATGAGCGTTGGGAGGTAGACGTTGGCTCCGAAGTCGATGAGCAGCTGCACGAACTCCACCCCGCAGCCGTGCCTCAGACACATCTCCAGCACCGTCTTGGGCTGCTTGATGGAGCCCAGCAGCTTGGCGTCCGTGCAGTTATAATCCGGATCCGCCCCGTAGAGCAGAAGCAGTCTGAAACACTCCATGTGTCCGTAAACCGCCGCCAGGTACAGCGGCCCGCTAGAAACTCTGGCGCTGGACGTCCAGAGGAGAACTTTAGAGCGAGAATTCACCTCAGCGCCTCCATCCAGCAACTCTTTCAAGATCTTCACGTCTCCTTCCCGCGCCGCGGTTAGCACGGGAGAGCAGTTATTGGACGAATTACCGTTTGGGTTAGCTCCGGCTTTTAGGAGCGCTAACACACATTCCAGGTATTTCCCACGGACGGCTGAGAATAGCGGCGTTTGAGCTTTGACGTCGACGCAATCCACGAGTGCCCCGCGACCCAGAAGCACCTGAAGGCAACTCAGGTGACCTTTGGAGACGGCGGCGTGTAGCGGCGTGCCCGAAACGCCCCATCCGCCGCGGCAGTTGATGACTTTTTTGTAGACTTCTTGGCAGAGCATTTCATCGAGGAGCCGGGCATCGTTTTGTAACACGGCCTGTCGGAGAAGAGAGATCTCGGAGCAGCTGCTTTCTTCTTCTGCAGTCCTGAGCTGGAGCATAGAAGCTGCTGGAGGACAGAGGGGATACAGACGGAGGGTTAGACGCTGACATTTAGACCTGAAAGACACGGAGCAGAAGTTCTTGTAGCTACAGGAAGGTTCAAACTAAGAATTACTCTCGACTCATGACTTTTCCCTGTGTTTGATTTTTATATTTGCTGTTGTAATTTATTGTCTTCTGTTTGCGATTGTAGTAATGTGTTATTTATTATTTGCATGTGCAGCACTTTGGCTCAACCAAAAATCGTTTTAAAATGTGCTATATAAATAAAACCTGATTTGATTTACCGTAATTTTCGGACTATAAGCCGCACCTGAATATAAGCCGCAGCATACCACTCTCGGTTCCACTTTTACTTTTGCGCGCTACCTGTCTCACTCTTTTCCGGCCTCCAGCTTTTCCTGCTGGAACCCGCCGCTTAAAGGTGGGGGTCCGCGGACCGGCCATAGAGCCCATAGAGTTAAAGGTGTTGGCCGTTAGCTGTAAAAATCCATAGATTAGCCGCACCGTTATATAAGCCGCAGCGTCGAAAAATAGGGAAAAAGGCGCGGCTTATAGTCCGAAAATTACGGTACTCTATTTTTTATTCATAGTTTGATGGAAAATGTCAGAAAATTGTGAAAAATCTGAGTTAAAATGTGCTCTGTGTCCAAAACTCACAGACATTAACTTCAAAGGCTTACTTTAAGATGCATAGAGTCACTTCTTGTAGCTACAGTTAGGTTAAAACTAACAATTACTCTATTTTTTACTCATAGTTTGGTGGAAAATGTCATAAAATTGTGAAAAATCCCAGTTCCTTTCTATTCAAACGGCTCTGTCAGTCCAAAACCCACAGATATTTACTTCTTATTGATAAAAAACAGATAAAAGCAGTTATTCTCAGCACTAAAGGAGCATTTTCAACCATTTCCCCTGAAAGGACCCAGAGGATTAATTGCTCATCAAAATAATTGGTGATTAAGAATCTGTTAATCTAATCATTGCCATTAATTTCAATTCTGAATTAAACAAAAAAAAACTGTTTTACGATGGATAAAGCAGAAAGTAAAATATGTTTGTTGTTTTATTCAATTACAGCAACTTCAAATAACTTGTGAAAATAAAGGTTTGCTGGAAAATTCAACGTAGAAATAATATAAAAAATATTCGATGACGTAGCATCCTTGAAATAGTGGCTCTGGAGCACCCTTCCTTGACATTGAGAAATACCCCTGGTCTCCCCTCCCTCTGCCCCCCTCCCCCCACGGGAACTCCACCTTTCTCAAATAATATGTGCACTAACACTTGAACCTGAACTCACACATGCACGTGTGCAATATGTGGTGTAATGTGTTTTGGGGCCATAACATTACATTACAACAGGATTGTTCGGTTATGGATGCATTATAAGTTTGTTATGATGTAGTTAAAACAATATTGGATGATAGTCATTATTTGTGAGTGTTTTGGACTGAGATAAATCATGGGTCAAAACTGACCTGCGAACACCATGAACGGTAACAGCTTTTGAACACAACACAAGGGTTACAATATGAAAACAGATGGTCTGTCGATCACAGCTGCTCACAAATACTTTGAATAAAATGAAACCAAAAGTCAACAATCTACCATCAGAGAAACAGAGTCTTCATACGATCTAATTACGCTTTCTTTATACATTTTATTAACCCTAAACACGTTCATACAGCCCTTTAAATCTTAAAGAACTCCTACAGAGAAACACATCTGCTTTAAAGTGAAATCTGATGCTTAAAGTTACATTTCCTCCTCTGTTGTTCATCCTCTGAAGGTTAAAAAACACATTATTTTTCAATATGTTCTCGTAGTATTCTGTCTTTTTTGCTTTAAGCATCACTAAGGAAGTCAGTAATTCAATTACATCTTAACATTTGAACAGCTTTGACTCAATAAACAGTGTATTAGTGTGTGTGGGGATGAGTATTATGCAATATTAACTGTTTAACTACAGGACGGTGTCATTGTGAAATCAAAAAAATAAGGGGTTAAAAAGACAATAACTGCAATTTAATGCAACATAATTCAAGTTAAATGTTTACAGAAACAGCTTATGGACTCAGTAAACAAACTGTGACGTCACGCATAACGTTATGCTTATAGGCTTTACAACAGGGACGGATTTAGCTAATATACTAAGCTAAAACGATCACTAATATAACCCGTTAGAGATTAAAATGCACATTTAGAGCTTCACATTTCGCGTTACCGTGTTTTAAATGAGTTGTGGAGCTGTTTTGTTGTGTTTTATTCGATAGTAGCGTCTCACCTAAGATCTGTCATCAGCTGCCTCCTTCATCTTCCTGCTTCTTCTTCCTCTTCTTCGGTGGTGGTGTGTGCAGCAGAGCGTCACATTCTGATTACTTTCGCATTGCTGCCCCCTAGTGTTCATAACGGGTATTATATAAATAAAAAAACAATTATATTTTCTTTAAAAATGTATTCACCATGTTTGTGGTCAAATAAGGTATTAGAAAATTCTAAAAAAAATCAACTAGACAGTGTAAGTGTATTTAATTAATGATGCATTAAAGTGTTCATTGTTTAAAAACTACAAATAGTTCAATATGATGTATAACATGAAGATTTCCCATATGAATACATTATGTGAAATATTTAAAAACCTATTTTATAGCTACCTTTAGTTTTTATTTTACACATTTTCATTTTGAATTACCCTTATCAAATGTAGTCTTTTCTGTTTTTATAATTTTTCATAATATTTATGAAACTGCTAATACAACAATAATCCACTGAAAAAACATAGATTTTTTTAACAGTGTGTAATTACATTTTCTCTCTTCTCGCTATCATAAATTGATGTGTTTGCATTCAAATAAGGTCTTATAATATTCAAAAAAATAAACCAGACAGTGAAAGTGTATTTAATTCATTATGCCTGAAAGTGTTCAATATTAAAAAAAATAGTGCATATCTCGCTTTTTGTTCATATTCTCCCATCTGCCTCCCGTGTTTTATCCTGCATGTGGGTCCCAGAGCCATATAATAGATGTATATATATAATAGATCTCTCTATATAGCGCTGGTGGGTCCTGCCTTCCTAACCCCACCATGACATGATTAAAGTATTAAAGTAAATTCATTAAACATTTACACTTTTTGAATTAGCTCCAAGTTAGCATAAAGGCTCTTCCCAAAGAAAGATGGTCTCCATGGCATCGGACCAACAGTACTGAACTATGGTCGTCTTATCACCGCCTCACTTTATCTGCTCTCTCTCCAGGCAACCCTGAAGGCATCCTTTCTCTTTAAACGAGGTCCTTTTCTTTATGCGTCACTCAGCCTTTGTGTGGGTGGTGATGAGAGTCAGCGCTCGCACACAATGCAGGAGAGAAACGTTTAAAATGTCTTCCTTTAGCTGCCGGTAAAACTACAGAGAAACACAACTTAAACAATCAGTGGTGGAATTTAGCGCACGTTTGAAGTTCTTGTATTTAACTTGAGTATTTGCATTTTCTGCTACTTTATACTTCTACTCCATTACATTTCTGAAGCCAATATTAATGATTACTCAACTACGTTTAGCTGACAGCTTTAGTTACTTTACACTTTAAGCTAATACAAGTATAAAGAAACTACTAAATAATATATTATTTTAGGGGTAAAATATCTGAATATCAGAGGAAAATATTGTACCTTCTCTACTTACACAGTGACATCTACTGTATATGTAACACTCGCGCTCCTATTGGCTAGCGCTCCAACACATTGTACCTGATAGGCTAACATCAGCAGGAGAGGACTCTTTAAAGTAGAGACACTACATACTGATATACACCTGAACATCAGCAGGAGAGGACTCTTTAAAGTAGAGACACTACATACTGATATACACCTGAAAATGAGCAGATATGGCCCGTTTAAAATATAAAGTAGCAACTATTCGTACCCAAACGACAGAGTCTCCAGTCTCTGAGGCTTGTCTCTGCACTGAGGGTCTCTATTGAGCTGCAGGGGTTTTACAACATGGTAATGAGCCTCCTATGTCCACTCTCTGTTGCTGAGAGACAAAGTAGAAGTCACCCAGGCGCTCAGAAAGAGAAAACAGAGAAGAAGAGGCCTTCACGACACCCCCATAACTCAGAGTGTTTGCAGAACGAGAGGAGGGGGAGATCAGAGCGTGTGGACCAGACTCAGAGTTTAGGATACTTGTGCAACAGCAACAAGGATGAAGAAAAAATGATTTGATGCAATAACAGGAGTGCATTAAGCTCCATGTGGTGATCAGGCAGGGACTATTTCTTCTTCAGGAGGATGTGATGTGCGCTACACGATGATATTTGTGCCAGTAAAGCAGACGTTGTGGATTCTCTGTGTGTTTCTGAGCACTGCAGCCAAAGGTGAGACGCTTCGTTTTGTATTAATTTAGGATTTAAAATGAGAAAAAGTTATGTTTTCGTTGGGATAACTTGTGGTTTTGCGCATCTTCAGAGAGAGGAGGGTTCAGAGTTTCATAGTAGCAGGTTGGTACAGATAGCTTCAATTCTATCTATTAACACAAGTCATATTTACTTCTCAAATTGTTTATTTTTAAGATTATTTATAGCGTGAATGTGTATTTGTAGAAAGCATTTATTTTATACGGAACAGAAAACAAGACTTTTTTCCTTCATTATTATTTAATTTAAATATTTATTTCCTATATTTTTATATATATTTTCATGTTTTATTTTCCATTAAGACAACAACCATTGCATAATGAGTGCCTTGACTTTACAAACAGTAAATAAATGTTGCTAACCCCTAACCCTAACACTTCTAAAACATCGTATCACACAGGATAACGCTTTTTTGATATCGAATTCGGTTCGTTTGCGTTCCCGTGTAAATGGGGTCTAAATTCCGTGTAGCACTACTATAGCTATCAATAACATTTTCTCAAATTGAAACTTTACAGGTGAGTTTGTGTAATCTACGAAATGTGCAGAATACAAATCAGCTGTCCTGTAGCATCTGTTGAGCTAATGAGCTAAACCTGCTCCTCGTCATCTGGTTTAAGATCTCAACGGGGTTAATTACTCCCACTAATTAACCACCTGACTGTGGAAACAAACACTTGGAGATCTTTAATGAACTCATTCTCGTATCACACATATTTTAAGCTGACATGATCTTAGGCCTTTCAAGGCTCTCAAGGTACTGTACACAAAACAACAGTCCAAAAAACAAGACAATAATCAATCAATAAAAGCAGAAAAGCAGAGGATGTGTGATGTGATCAGGGTGGATGTGCCTGTGTGAAGAGATATGTTTTGAGACGTGGTTTGAGACGTGATTTGAGACGTGATTTGAAACTGGGGAGAGTGTCAGAATTCTGGATGTCAGGTTGGAGGGAAATGTCTCCTCTCTCAGTGTGTGATGATAACCTGTATTTTATTTAGCTGCGTTGCTTTACAGAGGACAGTCGTTGTCCACAGGGCGGTCTCATCATTTGATTTAAGATCTCAACGGGGTTCATTAATTTCACTAATTAGCAACCTGACTGTGGAAACAAACACTTGGAGATCTTTAATTGGACTCATTCTCATAACACGTGAATTAAAAGCTGTCATGATTCTTTTAGAAATGCCTCCTCTTTCATATGATACAATAATACTTTAATGGTTGGATCAAGTCTGAAATGCTCCTTGCATCACAGCAGCTCCACGTGTAACATCAACAGAAACATATCAAGACACAACACATGAACAACAACCAACACACATTGAACCTAACAGCAGGATCAGTGAGAGCTGCTCAAAGAGCCTTCAGCGTGCATCTGATCTGTAGCTCTGTGTTTACTGAGAGGACTGACTGGAGCACAAAGGATGCTTCAGTCTGACTTTATGAGTCTCCATCAGATGGTAGCAGTTCATATTCTCTGCTCAGAGCATGCTTTGGGTCCCAGATGATTTTATGTTATTATGGTCTGTGAGTCAGAAAGTCTCTGACAGGGTGACCAACAGTCTTTGAGCAGATTTCTAACAGCTCATGCAGTCAGTGTGTAATAATAACCTGTGTTTTACTTCACTGTGTTGTCTTCCAGAGGACAGTCCTTGTCCACAGGGAGGTCAGATCCATGTCTCCAGCAGACGATGCTTCTTTCTCTCTGAGAGTCCGTCCTCATGGCCCGACGCTCAGACTTCCTGCAGAGAGACTCGCAGAGGAGATGTTGCCTCTGCTGAGAGCCTGGAGCTGCAGGACTTCATCCGACACTCCTTTCCAGTGTGAGTGCAAAGAAATGTCTCCTCTATTATACAGTATTTTGTTCCAGGGCTGCAGGGTTAGGGTTGGGGTTAGGGTTAGGGTTAGGGTTAGGGTTGGGGTTGGGGTTAGGGTTAGGGTGCGTGCCCATTCTGGAGTTTATTTACCCTTTGTCTTTTGTTTTTGTGTTGCTTTAGGAAAACCACAGTGTGGGTTTGGGCGAAAGGATCGGGGGGAGATGGGTCGGACCAGACGGATGTTATCGAGCCAGTGATTCCTGTAGAGAGTCCAGGGGAGTGTACTCAGATGGCTTTGGGGACAAAAGGAGAGTGGAGGAAGACTCAATGTGCCGGACGATACCTCTTCCTGTGTGAAAGGGAAGTAACAGGTAGGACTTTGAATTCACTCAAAAGCACCAGAGCTACACAGAAACTACCAGAAGATATTCAGGTTGTTGACATTATCCTCATGTTTTGTTAATTTATAGATTTGTTGTTTGCTAATCCCTCTTTGTGCAGAGTCTTTCCCGTCTGTGGACAGTTATCTGACCGGGTCGGTTCTCATGAGCGGTGACTACACTCAGATCCAGATTCAACCCTTACCCAATGCACCGGACATCGGACAGATCACAGTGGAGGTCAGTTAGATGTCAAAAACATTGGGAACTATCTTAAGCTTCACAAGATAAATCTGATATGGTATTTTAGAAAAGTATTTAAATCTACTATATCTGACAAGTGATCACCAGTGCTTGGTTTCAACGCTCTCCGACTGAATACTCCTATAATGGGTTACCGGTTGGCATTGATTGGTTATTAAGGGTCAGAAACATATAAAGTTTGGTTATCAGAGTTCCATGAAGTGATTCCAAACAGGGGTCAACTGTACCCTAAAGTATTTCTGTAGATGGCAATGGGTACATGGAGAATGTGGAGTAGCTACAGTAACTAAAACATTTTATCACATTATGGAAATCCACGAATTGCGTGAGTTATACCACCTGAACCTATAGCCTTCATGTTGCGTTCGAGTGCAATTTAAAAAATAGCTAGCAAGCACCATCCAATTGAATATATCTTTTTTTTAAACAGGACTTCAGGACTTTAACGTGTCAAAGAGCGTTTGTTCAATTCAAGTTCTGGTCAAGCAATTTCACAAAATGCAGGAACATCTCTTTGTATATCACAGTTATCCTGAGTTGTGGTGTCAGGAGCGTTCTCTTAAAGTCATCCCTTGCAAATGTTTTAAATATATACTGTTTCTATGTACGATTTTCTTCTTTATCTTGAGCATCCACAGCCACCATGCCATCACTATGATCTAGGCAGAACAAAAGCTCTGCACTTCAGCTCCAATTGTGTTTAAAAATGTATAAATGAAAGGTTTTTATCCACAGTTTGTGTTCCTGGTTGATAATCTGTTGCTCCTCTGACCCCACAGATGCAGCTGTTCCCAGGTCTGTGGTTCAGTCATGCAGGTCAGCTGGTCTCAGTAGAGCTGGTGGTCCAACCCAGTCCTGACTCCTCTCTGTCTCGTGTCCAGATCCTCCGACCGTACTGCAACCCCAACCACCATCTGGTTCCTCCAGGTACAGTACGACCATGGATGTTTAATAGGAACTGGATACAGCGTCGGAGGCGGTGTCTCGTTCTTTCCTATGAGAGCTGCTCATTGGCGCATGAGGACAAAATGGCCTGACATTTTCGAGAGCAAAACGTCAAAGATTACCCATCATGCTTTGCTGTCAGAGTAGAAGTACCCGCATGTAACTCATAGAGCGCAGTTGAGTTTCCGCTTAAGCCCCGCCTCCTTTCATTAAGCCCTGCCCCCGATCTCTTGCTCTCAGCTCAGTAGAATGAATCGAGAGAGAAAATAAATGTGGATGAAAGTGTTCGTGCTGGGTAGTTTATTCAGTAAAAAAAAAAATATATCCGCTTATTTACAGACGTCTCTTTCCCAATGTTAGTCAATGGGAAAGAGTCTTTCTGGGCCCAGTGACGTCACGGACTGATACAGAAGTTGTAGTACCGCCGTTTGGCCACTATGAATATTTTCCTCAGAGTCCGGAGCACTTCCTGGGGGCTTGAGTACAACAGATTAACAGAAATCTCATGTCTGCTCGACCCTGCAGGTGATAATCTCCTACAGGGTCGAGCAGACAGGAGATTATCACCTGTCTGCTCCTCAGCAGAGGTGGGAAGTAGTGGAGTACAAAGACTTTGTAACTGTACTTAAATTGTTCTGGTATCGGTACATTACTCCACTACTTCTTTTTCTGACGACTTTTTGCTTTGACTTCTCACATGTTGAACCCAAATACCTGTACTTTCTACTTCTTACATGTTGAACCCAAATACCTGTACTTTCTACTTCTTACATGTTGAACTCAAATACCTGTACTTTCTACTTCTCACATTTTCCAAACAGGCTGGTTCCTTTAGTCTGAATGTGTGTTTGGTGGCGTGATCATTATTATTTAGAGTCATTGCGTGCCTATTGATTTGAACACGATCCGTGTATCCATCATTTCCTGGTCTTCTCTAAAGAAGAGGGACCAATGAAAACGTTGTCATGTTGCCGTTGTTCAGCATGGAAACATTCATTAGCTAACAATGACATTATTGTTCTATTAATATAAAGGGAGGTCAGGTACTCTTTAAAACAGCTGCTAGTTATGGGTACTTTTTACTGAAGTACATTTCAAAGCCTCTTTACTTTTACTTGAGTAAAGAAGTTTAGTCAGTACTTCTACTGTTACCAGAGTATTTTGAAACACAAGTATCTGTACTTCTACTTGAGTAAAGGATGTGTGTACTTTAGCCATCTCTGCCTGAAGGTATTAATCTCCTCTCTTCTCCTCAGGTTGCAGCGCTCTCTTTAATCCGTTCAGCTGCTGCTCAGCCGTCCCGCTGTGCAACACGACAGGGGGCTGCAGCACAGGTCAGTACTGGTGCCACCTGCTGGAGGTCTGCATGCCCACCACTAGTCCCTGCAGCCCCTATGACTCTGAAACAAGGGCCCGAGGCTTCGTTTTACCTCCCAGATACACTGCAATACCGCCTTTCTACCACCTGGTGGCCGACCTGCCTCTGAGGGTTAACCCGAGCTCTGAACTGACAACTATAAGTGTACGTTGAACTGGTGCCAATGAGTGCTGCAGGGGTCCTAAGACCCAACGTTTTTTTTTCATGTCAAGGGAAACCGGGTGATGTTAACTTCATGAATTACCTAAAAAGATATTTCTTTATGTTGTCGTTTCAACACAATATGGATTTTTTTTTTCTATTCTCACAGATTTCCCTGTTTCTCTTTCCCCACAACAGCTGATTCTTCCAGATCGAGCGATCATGGTGTACCCCGATGATATCGTGGCTGTTCAACACACTCGTGACTCTGCGACTTTCTTACACTGCGTGAACAGTGACGCCTCTCTAAAGTCCCCCTGGCGCCAAAGCTACATGTCCCTGAGGAGGAGGGAGGAGTGGGGGGGCTGGAGGGAGGGAGGCCTCACTTCCCTTCCCCATGGAGGCCAGTGGGTGGACGGGGTGGTGTGTGATCTAAGGATGATGTACGTGGACAATCTTCACAGAGGAACCGAGCACGAAGATAACCCTGGCTTCACTGAAAGAGAGACAACCACAGCCTTAAACAACCAGGCCTTCACAACTGGTCCTACTCCGAGTCTTGGATCTAAATTTAGGCTTGACGTCATCCACCCTGTGCCAGATGCAAATAACCAGATTCACGTCCAAATAAACGTCCCGACACTCATTGTGGTCAAGGTCCTGTTTGGCGAGAAAGCAAGTAGCACATGGTCAGCACCAGTTCTCCAGACGGGGGTTCCCTTCCTATCATCTTGCCCCAAAGAGGTGGCTCAATCCTGGGATGGATGTAAGAGACAGTCCCATGATGCCTGGTTCTCCTCTGTGACCATGATATCGCCCACAGTTGGGTTTGAAACGCTGAACATCAGTGTGATGGACGCAGAAAGCTCTCAGAGTGTGAGTGTGAGTGTTTGCAGCTATGAGGAAGTCACAGGGCTAAGTGTTGAGCCGCATGGATGCCGGAGGATGATCGTAGACACACCACAGGTGAGAGGACAAAACGTATACTTTCAACAAACACATTCTGCTCATTTGACCAAATATTGTTTTAAGTGAACAGGTTATTGAGTTGCTCTAAAGATAGTAACGATTGATGATCGGTCCAATACTTTGGTGTGGACTGAAGTATCTGAAGACCATAGACGCATTACAACTGAAACTTTGTCCAGACATTTATTTTCCCCAGAGGATTAATCCTTGGAAAAATGTATTTGACATTTGTATCTTCCATATGTTATTGTGTTGCTCTAAAGACAGAAACGATTGATGGTCGGTCCAATACTTTGGTGTAGACTGAAATTACACGCATTACAACTGAAGTTCCTTTTCCCCAGAGGATCAATCTTAGAAAAATTGATTTGACATTTGTATCTTCAATATGTTTTTTACATTATAGTCATTTACAGCCAAAGTGGAGAGTGGTTCCTCAGTGAAATTCACATGGGTGATTGACTACATGGAGAACTTTGCCAATCAAGGAGAATCTTACAGCGTTGTGTTCAAGAAACCTGCCGAGTATAAGCTCAGGGTAAGATCATTCAGTTGTCTCTATGATTTTATATTTGTGATCATTCTATACATTATCTTACGTGATCTGTTTCTAGGTGACAGCTTCCAACCCTGTGAGCTCCCAGAGCCAACAAACCCTCCTGACTGCTGATGAAATGACCCCACTGTCTGATCCACAGTTCCTATTGGTCAGGGAGATCATAGGTGTGGATGCTACACACCTCTACACTCTCAGGGTCAAAGTGGACATCTCCCTGCCGGTTACCTTCAGGTAAAGCATTGCATTTCGTACCCTCAGATATCCTATGAGAAAAACATTGGATAGTGTTGGGAAAATACTGAATGTCCTCTTCCAGTATCAGAGTAACATGATAACAAAGGTATCCCAACTGTAGCTGTGAACATGACAGGATGTGTGATTACCTAGAAGAGCATCAGGACTGTTTGAGGCATATGATAGCTATGTGATTAACATGATGATTCAGCCTCTATGGAGAGAGACATATGACAAGCATGATCATTTCTGACGTGGAGCTAATCTGAAGTAAACATTGAATACTGCTTTCTATTCCTCCATCTTGTGACTGTGGAACTCCCTCTCTTGGATATCAGCATGTGAAGGACACTGTTCAGGAACTAGTTGATGCTCTGTATGTGATGACTACTTCCATTCTGGAGAGGATCACAGATACGTGGATCCTGAGATTGAAACTTGGTGACGGGTGAGATTTTTCGAACGGATAGCCTTAAATTATTTCATTTGGTGTTTGTCCTGTAGATGGGATTTTGGGGATGGCAGTAGCGAGAAGATCCACACACAATCTGCTCCATGCCAGACCATGGAGGGGCTCATGGAGAGAGGAGATAAACAAGTGTACGTCCAGGACTCTGTGAACTATACCTATCCCATCCCAGGTAAACACACACACAACTGTCAAATGATTATGTGTCATTTTAAGAGGGGGTTGATTGTAGTGATGGTTTTTGTTTGAGAGGTTTTAAAGTCTGAAACATAACCATGTGCTTCATTCTCACCACTTATTATCCCAGCCCCGACAAGTAGGCATCTGGTATACATCAAGATGTTTGATAAACCCACTGTTTTCTCCCTGCTGAGTAAAAGGAAGCGTCTAAATAACTTTGTATCTACCTCAAGAAGATAGAGGAGCCTTTAGCAGCCATAGAGCCTGAAAACTCCCATAAGAAAGTTGATGGAGATCAAAGCAGAGCAAAAGGAAATTGGATAATAGATAATGGCCCTACGTACATTCCTTGGGAAGATAGAATCACAACCTAAATGTTATTTTCATGTCTCCTTCAAATCAATTTTAGATATAATAATGTCCTTATTTTGGTCGAAGATTGACACTGGTTCTGAAAACTGTGCTTTGTACTTATTATGTCTCTTTTTGCAGATGACTACACACTTCACGTCCAAGTCTCCAACCAATATGACCACACTGACGCCTCCAAGAAAATAAGGGTTCGCCCTCAATTAAATCACCTCCTTATTTCCTCCAACGTTCCTGTACCTCTCGTCAATCAGACTCTTATTCTTGAAGCTACAGTGGAGCCCTCGACCTACGCTGTCGTCTACACATGGGACTTTGGCGATAGCTCTGAATCTCTCCAAAGCATCCACCATAAAGTCAACCACAGTTTTATTTCTGCTGGGGCTTACAACGTCACAGTGTGTGCCAACAACACCCTGACAGTGCTGACCTCCTGGATAATGGTGGAAGTTCTGGAGAAAATCTCTGGATTAACAGTCAGCTACAATGGACCCAGTGAACTAAACGTAGCTACAGATTTCCGAGCTACAGTGACGACTGGTAGTAATCTAACGTGGGATTTTGACTTTGGCGATGGATCCTTTCAGGGCAACATTTCAGATGGCTCCATCTCCCATGTCTATGTATTACCAGGAAACTATACGGTAGATGTAACTGTCTCGAATACTGTCAGCAAAGCTCATCAGTCCATCAGTGTGGAGGTCTATACGTTGGCTGTTAGTGGAGTTCTCCCTACAACATGTGTCATGAGTGGAAACGAAATACAGTTTACTGCTTTGGTGAATGGGAACATATCCAATCTGACTTTCCATTGGCTGTTTCAAGATGGTTCGTCTCTGATTGTAGTAACGGGGCAATCTACAGCCATGCACACCTTCCTAAACCATGGGATTTGTCATATTAGTCTGACTGTGTTGAGTACTGTTACATCAGTATCCTATAATACGAGTATCTGTATCGAATCGCGAATAACCAACGTATCAGTGCAGCCATCAAAGGAAGTAGTGGCAGTAGGGGAAGAGGTATGCTTCAAGGTGTTAGTTTTACCTGTACAGATAAGAGGTTACCAATTGAAGTGGTTCAACAGCTCCTCTAGCCTCATTGCTGTGACAGAAAATGCTCAAAAGTGTTTCATCTTTAGGGATGAAGGTGTGGAAGTGGTTTTAGTGACAGCAAGTAACAGTGTTAGCAACAAAACAGCCAGAGCTAGTATCACCGTTCAACACCCTGTAAGTGACCTGTCTGTGGGGCATGATAGTGAAAGTATCACACTGACAGTCAACACATTAGCATCATTTTGGCTTGCTTCTTGCACTGGTAGCAATGTGTCCGTGCTGTGGGACTTTGGAGATGGATCTCCTGTTGAACAGAACAAAAACGTGTCACATGTCTTTACCACAACAGGTCAGTTTACAGTCACCGCCACAGCATTTAACGCCGTTAGCCGTGATTCTGTGACCCTTCAAGTCAATGTTTTAAATACTATTTCGGACCTTTCTCTTCACACCAACCAGCCTTATGCTGCAGTTGGAGAAGAAACACTCATCTCAGCAATTAGCAGTGCAATCAGTAACACCATTTACTACTGGACTGTAGACGGTATATCCTCAAACGTACAGGGGACCGATCAGTTTAGATTTGCTTTCCTGAAACCAGGAGTGTATCAAGTCCGAGTTATAGCACAGAACTTGGTGAGTAGAAAGGAAGCAGCTATTGTAGTTGAGGTCTTTGAAAGAATAGAGGGTCCTCAGATTGAATGTCAGAACCTGATAAATGTTAAATACGTACCAACCCAAGAGGAACTAGTGTTTATTGCCTCGATCACCAAGGGATCCAATGTCTCTTATCAATGGCTCGCTACACAAAGCGGAATAAACCATACATGGTGATGAAGAGCTTTTTCAGATGTTAGCTGAATCTCCTGGAGGGATTTCAGTTCAGTTAAGAGCTTCTAACAAGTTGGGTGAGGCCACCAGTGTTGTTTCTTTGTTGGCAGTACAGCGTGTTACAGGTGCGCACATTACAACACAATCAAATGTCGTGGCATTAGGGAAAGTAGTGAATATCTCTGTATCGGTGGTTACCGGTTCAGATTTGGAGTACCTTTGGTATATGATGTCTGGTGTCTCACCTTTGCAAACACATGCATCCTTCCTTCTCCACACTTTTACAACTGTTGGTCATCGTCTTGTTAGAGTGTTGGTTCAAAATGTCCTCAGCCAATGCAATGTCACCAAAGAGTTGAATATACAGGAGGGAATCCAAGAAGTGGATTTTAAGATTGAAGGAAAGACGCATCCGTTTTATGCCCCCACAAGTTCTGCTATTCAACTCCATGGGATTATTCGGAAGGGAAGTGATCTGCACTGGAACTGGGAAGTAAAAGGTGCTAATCTTTATAATGCTTTCGATCAGACCTTCATCTACACGTTTCCATATGAAGGCATCTATCAGGTGTCTTTGAATGTCTCCAATGGGATCAACTGGGAGATGGTTTCACACAGTGTCACAGTCCAGGATGCAATCGAGGGTCTAACGTTGAACATTTCCGAGTCTTCTTTCTGCACGGAGGAACAAGTTACTGTTATTCCAACAATCTCCAAAGGAAGCAATGTCAGCTTTGCTATAACCTTTAAAAACAAGGACTGGATTCGTAGTCAGAGCGTTCTTGAGGGGCGGTTCATCACATCGAGCCTTCCTGCAGGGAAACATCTAGTAACGGTGAAAGGTTGGAACCATGTCAGCAGTTCTGAGGTGTCTTCAAGCATTCTGGTCACTGAGCATATTCAAGGTCTGAGACTTGTGAACTGTTGTTCTGATGCTTTCGAGGCTCTGAAAGGAACCAGGTTCAGGGCAGAAGTTCAAAGTGGACTTCCTGTGAACTACTCCTGGGTATTTAATTCATTGGGGTCTAAGCCTACCATGTTCACAGGACAGGAAGTGATCTTTACTCCTGCAGAAAGTGGTTTACTGTCTGTTAGCGTGCTTGCTACCAATGGAGTCTGCTCAAAGAAGGTAAATGATACTGCCACCGTTCAGTGGGCTGTTAAGAAGGTGACGCTTGTCTGTCATTCAGAAAGATTATTTGTTGGACATGCTGTCAAGTTTTCTGCACAGATGAATGGACGGAGCAATCCAAGATATCTCTGGGGCTTTGGAGACTCCAATGAGACGTTGGCAACAGACTTAAGCACAGTCAATCATACTTATTATATCCGTGGGAAATACATGGTTGTGGTCAAAGTGTTCAACAGTGTCAGCCATGTATCTAGACAGCTACACATACAAGTGGAGGAGCTCCTTTGTTCAAGCCCTCAAGTTTCTCTTATCCAGAGCCATTTGACTATCTTCAGGTCTAGAATGAGTTTTTTTGAAGCTATCGTGGACATTAACTGCTCTGCTTACAAAGCTGCGTACCTATGGGAGATACTTAATGAGTCAGATTGTAACAATTTCACTGGGAACAAAGTCGTTCTTGGAAGCCAGGTAGATGCATCGTCACCCTTTCTCTTACTCCCAAAGCATACTCTGGATTTGGGACAGTATTGCTTGGTGTTCACCGTTTCCCTCCAAGGAACGCCTTTACTTGTCCAACGAAATATCAGCGTTACAGTAGTCCACTCAGCATTGGTCGCTGTTATCAAGGGAGGATCACACAGACTGTGGCCCAGCCTCAGTGATCTCATCCTGGACGGATCTGAGTCTGAAGACCCTGATGAACCGCCAGGAGTGGATGATACACTGCAATACCACTGGACCTCCATGACTGTGGTAAAAACCTTTTTTGGGTTAAAGGTCACCCATCATGCAAAATCCACTTCTTCATGTCTCTTCTTCATCAACATGTGTCCCCTCTTCTTCATGTCTCTTCTACATCAACATGTGTCCCCTCTTCTTCATGTCTCTTCAACATCAACATGTGTCCCCTCTTCTTCATGTCTCTTCTACATCAACATGTGCCCCCTCTTCTTCATGTCCCTTCTACATCAACATGTGTCCCCTCTTCT